TTAAAAAAATTAACCATTTTAAGGTACATAATTCAGTAGCATTTAGTACATTCACAGTGTTGCGCTACTGTTACTTTTCTGTTGGTTCCAAAACACTGTCATCCAAACACCCTGAAAGGAAACTCGTATCCATTAGTACTCATTCCTCATTCCTATCTCCCAGCCCCTGGCACCCACTAACCTACTTCTAGTTTCTGTGGACTTACCTCTTCTGTACATGTTACATAAATGGCTTCATGCAATATGTGACCATTGGTGGGGCGTCTGGGTGGCTCAGTCAGTTAAGCATCTAACTTTGGCTCAGGTCATGATCTCCTGGTTTGTGAGTTTGAGTCCTGCGTCAGGTTCTGTGCTGACAGTTCAGAGCCTGGGTCCTGCCTCTGATTCTGTGTCTCATTCTCTCTCTGCCCCTCCCCAACTTGTGCTCTGTCTCTCAAAAATAAATAAATGTAAAAAAAATAAAAAATGTGACCATTGGTGTCTGGCTTCTTTCACTGAGTATCATAAATATATATATATATTTTAAGTTTATTTATTTATTTTGAGAGAGAGCCCATGCTTGAGTGAGCAGGTGAGGTGCAGAGAGAGAGGGAGAGCAAGAGAGAGAATCCCTAGCAGGCTCCGAGCCATCAGCGAGGAGCCTGATGTGAGGCTCTGTCTCACAAACCATGAGATCGTGACCTGAGCTGAAATCGAGAGTTGGATGCTCAACCTCCTAGCCATGCAGGTGCCTTGATGGGAGACTTTTGAAAGAAATATTTTACTTAAAAAATTGTTTATATATTTATTTATTAGAGAGGTGGGGGGAGGAACAGAGAGAGAGGGAGGCACAGAATCGGAAGCAGGCTCCAGGCTCCAAGCTGTCAGCACAGAGCCCACTGTGGGGCTCGAACCCACACACCATGAGATCACAACCTGAGCTGAAGTGAGACTGAGCTGCCTAGGCACTCCAGAAGTTACTTTTAGAAAACTTTTAGAAAAACCAAATTTGTTGGTCATTAAGTGCCCGAGGTTTTTTGTTTAATAACATTTTTATTGACGTATAATTCACATGCCATATAATTCAGCTATTTAAAGTGTCCGATTCAGTGGCTTTTCATCTGTCCACAGAGCTGTGCAAACATCGCCACAGTCAATTTTAGGACATTTTTATCACCCGCCATAAAAACCTCACACCTGTTGGTCATCCTTGTTATGTTTTAGGATCTTAAGTTGTCAGTCCCCTGGACTGGCTGGCAGAGATTTAAGTGGCTCTTGACTTTCTACTGCTTAATTTTCTCCACCTGTAATTATAGATGAACTTGGCCAATTAGGTAACGTGCCTATCTTCAGGCACATTTTGGAAATGTTTCATGTGCATTATCTCCTGTAAGGCTCAGATCAACCCGTGGGAAAGCTACCATTTTTGTCCCCATGTGACAGATGGGGAAACTGATAAAGAAGCTAAGAGGCCCAAGGTCCAGCTGGGGTTTGAACCATGAAGTCTTACCTTAATTTGTTCTGATAGAGGCGACTGAGCTCCAATCTTCAATGCTGACTTTCATGAGCCTCTAGGTCTGTGATGGCCATTACCGGCCCAGCAATCCTTCTACAGGGGGCTTCCCAGACACGACCTCATGCACAGTTTGGAAGGAGAGGCTGGGGGCGGTGGGAGGCTGGCCAGACAAGGGGGAGGGTTTGGCTGCCTGTTCTTCTGTCACCTCCCCCACTGTAACAGTAGGCTCTGCCAGGTGGGCTTCCCAGAAAAGCTGAGCAGAGTCTACCTGTTCCAGGAGCTCTGGGTGAGGTAGGAGCCAGCACTGTCCAGAGCAGGCCAGAATTTCCAGCAAAGTTCAGGGATGCCCCCTGGTGGATCTGTACTCCTGAAGCAAAAATAGCTGTTCTCCGAGTCTGTCCTGCGATCCCCGTAGGATCTGTGGGGTCAGGAGCCAGTCACTGAAGGCGGAGATCATTTTTCAACCATAGCATGTGATCTGGATTCAGTATTGCATAGGACAGGGACAGGGGTCGCGGGACAGAAGGCTGGGTACCAGATTAGATTGAATTGGCTTCACATAACAGGGTATTTTGAGTCCAGTTACTTGTCTGATTCTCAGTTTCTCATCTATCAAATGGGTATAAGTGAAGTACTACCTCACAGAACCACGATTAACTTAAGGTAACCTGTGGAGAGAGCTTACCTGTGGTCAATAAATATTAACTATTCTATTTGGTAGAGTATGTTCTGGATGACTTGAGCAGATCCCATTGTCTGTAGACATTAGTTTCCTCATCTATTTATTTTTATTATTATTTTTAAATTTCTTAATGCTTATTTATTTTTGAAAGAGAGAGAGAGAGAGCAAGAGCGAGCAAGCGGTGGGGGGGAATGAGAGAGAGAGAGAGAGAGAGAGAGAGAGAGAGACAGAATCTGAAGTAGGCTCCAGAATCTGAAGCAGGCTCCAGGCTCTGAGCTGTCAGCACAGAGCCCATTATGGGGCTCGAACCCATGGACCGTGAGATCATTACCTGAGCCTCAACTGACTGAGCCACCCAGGTTCCCCTAGTTTTCTCATTTGTAAGATAAGTACAGTCATCTGGGGTGGTTATGAAAAATTAAGATATTGAACCCAAAAGATAGTAACAACCGGGTTCTCATCTGTGCCTATGGAATTACTATTATTATTCAGTTCCTGCTGTATGAAAGGCACTGTGTATAAATTCAGCAAATATTGAACTTGGGCCTCTTGTAATGCAGCCTCTGTGTACAGAGCTGGGTACATAGCACTGCACCAGAATGGAATAGTACTCATATCAGCATGTACGTTCCATGAGGGTTTTGTCTAATTCAAGGGTTGACAAACTTTGTAAAGATCTAGAGAGCCAGTATTTTGGGCTTTGCTGACCATTTAGTCTGTGTCAACTACTCAGCTTAGCCCTTGTACCATGGACACAGCCAGAGACATTGTGTGAATCAGAATGTGACTGTGTGCTAATAATACTTTATGTATGGACCCAGAAATTTGAGTTTTGTACTATTTTCACATCACAAAAGATTCTTCTTCCTGAGGGGCGCCGGGGTGGCTCAGTCAGTTAAGTGTTTGACTTCAGCTCAGGTCAGGATCTCGTGGGCTGTGAATTTGAGCCTCCCATCGGGCTCTGTGTTGGCAGTACAGAGCCTGTTTGGGATTCTCTGTCTCCTCTCTCTCTCGGCCCCTCGGCTGCTTGTGCTCTCTCTTTCTCTCTCTCTCTCAGATAAATACATTTTTAAAAAATTTTCATTTTCCCCCCTCCCTCATCAGTTAAAAAATGTAAAAACCATTTGTAGCTCATGGGCCAGATCTGCCCATGGGTTGTCATTTGCTTGCATTCTTTGCTCTTGGACTAGCTTTGAACAAGGTGATCTCCTGCTTCCTGTTCTTTTCTTTCTTTCTTTTTACCTCTGGTTTACACATTTCTGAGTTTCCATGGATCATGTATTTGTCACTGAGCTAATGGGGAATTGAGGTCTTTCCTTAACAGATGGCGGGCTCTTCATTCCAGCCCTGATGCTTATTTTGTGTGCTGACAGACAGGAGGGGCCGGCTTTTATCCTCAATCACCATGAATGTGGCATCTGCTGTGTGTCTGTTTTCTCCCTGCTCATGGTGCTTACTTTGGTTGTTCCTTCTACATTGGCTGAAGGCCTGGAGCCATTATTATTCCCATCTTACAGACGGGGAAGTAGAGTCCCTGGAAGGGTTGTGATTTCCTCAAAGCTTTGTCTGTTGCTGGTGGTCCCAGGGCTAGCGCTGAACGCTCCTATCTCCCAGTTCTGAAAATGTTCCCTTTCCTCTGGGAAGCAGCTGGGGAGGCAGCGTGGCTCAGTCCTGAGATGAAAGGCTGGGCTTTCCTGAGGGGCGCCGCTCATTCCTTTTAGTTCAGCGGTGGTTCCCATGAGAAGTCCTATGTCACATATTGAATGGGACAGCCAACATTCCTCATTTATTTGTTCCATAAATGCGTACGGGCTCCTGCTATGTGCCAGGCTCTGTTATAGATACTTGGGGTAAAGTAGTGAGCAAGACAGACAAGACCTCTGTCCTGGCGATGATTATGGAATAGTAGGGAAGAAAGCCAGCAAAGCCAACAGAACATATTCAGGAATTGTGATTAGTCCCTGGGAATAATGGGGAGACCCGTACATTTCCGTACTAGACCCTCTGCAGGTTGTTCTGTGAGCACCATCTGACCTCACAGTCAGCCTGTGAAAAGAGATGGAAGGGACGCCTGGGGGGCTCAGTTAGTTAAGTGTCTGCCTTTGGCTCAAGTCATGATCTCACAGTTTACAAGTTCGAGCCCCACATCAGCCTCTTCTGTCAGCTATCCACAGAGCCTGGAGCCTGCTGTGGATTCTGTGTCTCCCTCTCTCTCTGCACCTCCCCCCTCTCAAAACCAAAAACATTAAAAAAGATAAAAAAAAAAAAAAAAAGAAAGAAGGGATGGCAGGATGAAGATACAGAGGTTCAGAGAAGTCAGGTAACTTTCCTCACCTCACAGACCAGGGAGGGAGACTACCAAACAGCTAAGTTTCTATAGAAATAAGTACTATCTTAGTGCTGTGAGTAAAGAGAAAGGCCTTAAATGCCATGCTAAGAGATTCTTCAGTAGGCACTGCGGGGCGCTGAAGGTTTTGAGCAGAGAAAGGAGTGTCCATAGTCAGATCTCTGTTTTAGAAAGCTCACACTGTCAACACTGGAGGATGGACAGGAGGGGGTAGTCTGGAGACCCCTTAGGATGTTCTGGATGGAGGGGTAGCCTGAAGACCACTGAGGAGGTTGTTTTAAAGAGTGGTAAGGCTGCACTGGACAGCGTGGGGGCCGTGGTGGTGCAGGGAAGCAGTGGAGAGAGATTCAGTGAGGAAACCAAGCAGATGAGGTGATGGAGCATACGGGGGGAGGCAGGGTTTGTTTATGGGGACCTGAAGCGGGATGTGGACCCCAAGCTGTCAGGAGCCGCCATCATGTGGACTCTGCCCCTAGGTGGCCGTCGGCTGGTGGATGTGATGGATGTGAACACGCAGAAGGGTGCGGAGATGAGCATGTCCCAGTTTGTGCGGTACTATGAGACGCCCGAAGCTCAGCGGGACAAGCTGTACAACGTCATCAGCCTTGAGTTCAGCCACACCAAACTGGAGCACCTGGTCAAGCGTCCGACCGTGGTAGGCCCCCCGGCCACGGCCCCCCTTCCTGACGCCTCCTGCCTCCTCTCCTAGTCCGCCTCACCTGCTGCCCAGGCTTGAGGCCAGCCAGCATCAGCCCCAGGAAAGGGCAGGAGGGGCGTGGGGAGCACAGGGAAGGGTGGAGGTGGTGAGGGAGCCCAGCGGAAGGGCACCCCACGACAGGGAGTGCTGACACTGGTCTGGCTTTCAGGTAGACCTGGTGGACTGGGTGGACAACATGTGGCCCCAGCATCTGAAGGAGAAGCAGACAGAAGCCACGAACGCCATTGCAGAGATGAAATACCCGAAAGTGAAGAAGTAAGACTGCCTGGCTAGTGGCGGGGGCTGGGCGTGGGGGGTGTCTCCTAGCCCAGCCGGGTGCTGCTGGGACATAAGGGACGGGGGTCCTTGGTGTGAGCAGATTGGCGCCTTGCATTCCCCATCCAGATGGTCCTCTTTGGCCTCCTTGCCAGCCTCCCTCGGGGCCTGTGATCTGAGTGGGGAGGAGGAATAATGGGGACCGTGTCTCTGTACGTGTGTGCGCTTGCCGTACCTTTATCTACTCCTGCCAGGTGACAGCAAGCCCTGGGAGTGGGCAGAGACCTGCTCACCATGGACACTTTGCTTTTGCCACGGGCTGGGGAGGGATCTGGTGTTCTTTTGCCGCTTGCTGTTGAGACCCAGGGCCTCTGATCCAGAACTTTTCCCAATCAAAGCCCAAGGGCTGCTTATTCATCAAACACTCCTTAGATGGTGTCTCGAAGCGGCAGGTCAGCTCTGGGTCAGGAACGTGGCCATGTCTAATTGCAGGGACATCACTAGATATGGACCAGTAAGTCCTAAACCCGTTGTTTAACATGGACAGAGGCACCTACGATCCCCTCCACATTCTAGAATTTTCAGTAACGGACCCTGGGGACCCTTGCGGCTCTCGGGGCTCTCGCCATCTCAGCCCGTCTGTGTTTCCATCTCCAAACGGGAAGGAGTTGTTGGCCATCCCGGGCATGACTGCTGCTCTGGGCTTCCTAGAAGAGTTGGCTCTGGCAGCTCCGAATCCATTAGCATCTCTCTGCCCAGCCCTGCTGCCAGGAATGCCCCCAGCAGTGTGAAGGCTGTGAGCTTTTCATTCACTCCACCCTGAATGAAGGGGGGAGTGAACGCAGACTGGGTGCCAGGCTTTGTAAGGGAGGCCAGCATGCTGGCCCTGGCTTCGCAAGGCTTTGCTTTCAAGCTCTTTCTTTTCTCTAATTATTTCTCAGGCATTTTTCCTCCCCTTGAAGCTGAAGCTCCTTACACTCCTTAGATTTGGGCTGCAATCAAACACAAAGAATGGGCTCAAGGTGGGGAGGGAAAGAGGGTTTCAGTTCTATTCCTTTCCCATTTGATCGCAGCAAAATTTCTGGAGCCCCTGGGATGGGGAAGTAAGAAGAATGAGACTAAGAGCCCTTACCCTCTGGAGAATGTGTCATATAATGCACGGGGTAAAGTGCCATCTCATCATAGGTAGAGTGAAACTGGGTCTGGGACAGGAGAGGAGGAATCCTTTCTGGCTGGTGGCAATGGGAAGTCCTCCAGAGGGCACACTGTACCTGGGCTTTAAAGGACAGAGGAGATGGGAGGGACTTGGAGGGGAGGCGGTGGAGGTAGGGAAGTGCCAGGGGCCTTGATGGAATCATGAGGGTAGAGCGAGAGGAAAGAGGGTGGGACTCAAAGCTTAGGGGTGGATCACAGCTCTGATCGATTGATTGGGTGATTGATTGGTTGATTCAGTCAGCATATGTATTAAACCTCTGATTGGTGCTGGGCACTGGAAATGCAGAGAGGAGAAAACCAGGTGAGCTCCTTGTCCTCACAGAGCTTATATTCTATCCGGAGACACATGTTCATCCAACAATCAGAGAAACAAATGGAAACTTGCAGCTGTGTCGAGGCCATAAGGCAGAGATCCACGGTGCTCCAGGACTGTGTACCTGGGTACTGGTGGTCAGGGAGGGCAAGGCCATCGTCCCCAGGGTGGGGTCTCAGGGGAGAGGAGTTACTTAGCTGAAGAGGTCTGAAAAGAGCTTTCCTGGCTGTGTGCAGAGAGCCTAGTGGGATGGCTAGGAAGGGCAGGGAGACAGGGGTAGGGGGGCCTGCGGAAGGAAGGTTAGTGAGGTTGGAGCAAAGTGAGGGAGGGGGGTGGCGGGTGCAGGATGCTGGGTGGGCCAGGCTGCTCAGGGCCTGCCGCGCCTGACCTAAGGGCCAGTGTTTCTCCTAGGAGAAGTCAGAAACCTCTCTGAGATCTCAAGCAGAGAGGGATGCGTGCAGATACACATTCTGCAAGTCCTCCTGCTGCCGTGTGGATCGAAGGAGGTGGGGTGCAGTGATAGGGGAAAGCAGCACATTGCTTCGATGAGGGCAAATGATGGGACAGGTGGGAGCAGGGACATATGGGACATGTATCTAGGAAGGGAAAATAGCATAGATTGCAGTTGCCTTCCTCCCTTTAGATGTTTGGCGTATTCTTCACCTTATTGAAAAATTCCTCTGAATAGTAAGTTCTATCAATACCTTGAGAATCCTATCAAATTAACAAAAAAAAAAGCCTCATGCACTATTTTCTAGAACTGTGTGTCTTTGACTCATTGTTTGGGCTGTGTGGCAGATACACTTACAAACCCTGTCAGTGGCCTTGGGAACTTGTTACAGGATTTGAACCTTGTTAGGGAGGAAGTTGTCACCTTGGGAATCGTCCGTTGGTTTGGCTGTAAAGAATGCTGATTTCAGTTAATCAGCAAGGTAAACATCCCACAATGATGAAGTCCTCTGGGACCACAGATGAAGTCCTCTGTGGGATTTAATTAAAATGACACTATTTCTAGAAGTCAGAGCTTCCAGGCTGACAGGCCACCTGAAATGAGGTTTGCGGGAGGGAAGAGAGAAGTGTACAGACCCATCATTGCCTTCTCCCTGGCTCCAGGGTTTGTTCAGTTTGATCATGGAGGGGGGTTTCAGAATTCTAATGGGCTCTGGCTGAGATACTTAAGGCTAAGGGTGCTGGAGGTTGTCAAGGGGGTAGCTGTAACTTTGTGGGAGACAAAAGATGTAAAGGATAAGTTAGTGTATCAGTTATCTATTGCCGGGTTTACTGAGTGCCCATAAATGCAGACCCTCGTCTAAGTAGTTGATAGGGTACAGTGTATAAAGCAAAGCCCCATTAGTTTGAGCCCCACATTGGGTATAGAGATTACTTTAAAAAAAATAAAGCAAGATGAAGGGAAAAGAGGATGACAGGGCATGCTGAAGGAACGTCATCGGCCCTGTGCACTTCCGCTATTGCCTGCCCTCCATCTCTACCCTGCAGGGATGTTTTGGCCATCCAGAATTATTTGTCTTGGAAAATTCCTAATAATTGGATAAACAGTGAAACTATTTGGGAGCCCTCCTTGTATTAGTTTATTGCTGCATAACATTTTCCTAAAACTTTATAGCTTAATAAAAAAGACATCTTAGCAGCTTAAAACAACATTACCGCACAGTTTCTGTGGGTCAGGAATCTGAGAGTGGCTCAGCTGGCTGCTTTTGGCTCATAGTTGCTCTTGAGCTTATCTTGACTGGGGCTGGAGCACCCACTTCCAAGATGGCGCACTAACATGGCTGTTGACAAGAGGCCTCAGTTCTTCACCATGTGGGCCTCTCCATAGGGCTGCTCGAGTGTACTTGTGACATGGCAGCTGGTACCCCCCCCAAAAGGGTGGGGGAAGAGACAGCAAAGAAGAAGCCACAGTGCCTATTAGGACCCAATTTTGAAAAATCACATGCTGTTTCCTTCTACCACATTCTGTTAATTAAAAGTGAGCTACCATGGCTAGCCCACACTCCAAGGGGAGGGGAATTTGGCTCTATCTCTGAAAAGGTGAAGTCTCAAAGACTATGTGGGCATGTTTTATTTTATTATTTAAAAATTTTTTTTAATGTTTTCTTTATTTCTGAGAGAGAGAAAGACAGAGAGAAAGAACAAGAGCGTGAGCAGTGGACGGCCAGAGAGAGAGGGAGACACAGAATCTGAAATAGTCTCAGGCTCCAAGCCAGCCGTCAGCACAGAGCCCGACGTGGGGCTCAAACCCATGAACCTGAGCAGAAGTCAGACGTCCAACCAACTGAGCCACCCAGGCGCCCCATTGTGGACATGTTTTAAAGCCTCCACAGTCTCCTAGGTCTCTGCATGGATATACCTTTCTCACTTAGGACCACTGGGTATTATAATGCATTCCAGAGGGAAATTAGCAAATCTTTTCTCTCCTCACATGCTATTTGCAGAAATGAGGTTTGCGGCTTAATGGAGATAGGCTATGAACTGACAAGAAATGAAAGGAAGGGGGACCCCGCATAAAGCATATAGTTGGCCTCTAAATAATTGGGAGTGAACTGCATCCCCCCCCCCCCCCCCCCCCCCGCACCACACACACTTTCTGGGGGTGGCAGGAAGAACCGGGGAAAAACTTGGGCATGATGCTGAAACCCAGACATAGGATACAGCTGGGTGCTGGGATGAGCAAGGTTCAAGGGCTGCCCCTGGCAGTTTCTGGTGGCCTCAGGAAGTTTCTCAGCTCCTCTTAGGGACTCAGTTTCCCCTTCTACAAAGTGGGGATCCTGTCCTCCCTGCCCCACCTCCCAACCATGCTGTAGGGAAGATGGACCCTACAGTGGATGTTGTGATGTGGGTAGGGCAAGGTATTTGTCTTTTTTTTTTTTTTTTAAGGTATTTGTCTTTGAGGCCTCTTGTAGACACAAGTCTCCAACTGCCATCGGAATCCTTGGCTTTCAGATTTATTGTCTCACATTTGCACCGGGCTTTTATCTCGACAGCGCTCATTTACTTTCAACTCTCCTCAGCCATGTTTGCTGGTATTAGAAATGGGCATCCCTGTGTAATACATCACACAGGGAATCTGACCTAGAGAGGAGGCTGCTGACGTCACACAGGCACAGAACTGTGTGGGCCACACACCCACACCCCAGGCTTTTTGATTCCTGGCTTTTCCTCTCTACATCCACACCTTTACAAGAGGAACAAAGAAAGCCAGCCTCTCTGTGCTGCCATGTGTAGATGCAGACACTGTGGTAGACACTTAGCACGCACATCTTAACAGTACTGGAAGCCAGGTGTTACTCTCCTCATTTTACAGACAAGGAAACTGAAGTTCATAGTGCTTCTGTGCTGGTAACAGGTGTAGCAGCAGAGTGTAAGACAGTAGGCGCTGGTGTGGATGTGGATAACTTCAAAAATTCTTTTTTTTTTTTTTTTAAGTTTATTTATTTACTTATTGAGAGAGAGA